TCCAGAGACAGACCAGCTCGAGCCTGTCTGTGTCCAGAGATGACAGGTCACTGTCTTGGCCCTCAGAAGTTGAAGCCCAGAGCAACCACCCTCAGAATGAGAAACTTGGGAAATGGGAAGGGAGTGTCCAGTGAGTAACAGCACACTCCTGAGAGAAGATTCTGGGAACTGCAGCAACTGTAAAAACATGTCAGTGGGGGGTGAGGGGTCACTTAGTCCCTGGGCTTCCCCTGTCTAGGTTGATAGTTATGTAACATGTCCACTCTGGCCACCAGTTTTGTGTCAACTGTTCTGGAATCAAAGAGAAGGACCATGAAGGAAAGGGCCAGATTCCCTTCTCCCAAGTGTGGGAACCAGCAGGTAGGGCCTGAGTGGTCTTGGAAGGGCTGGGACAACCCGGGGCTGGGAGGACTCCGGGCTGGGAGGACTATGGGCTGGGAGGGCCCGGGGCTGGGAGGACTATGGGCTGGGAGGACCTGGGGCTGGGAGGACCCGGGGCTGGGAGGACCCGGGGCTGGGAGGACCCGGGGCTGGGAGGACTCTGGGCTGGGAAGACCCGGGGCTGGGAGGACTCTGGGCTGGGAGGACCCGGGGCTGGGAGCACTCCAGGCTGGGAGGACTCTGGGGTTGGTAAACCACCTGTGCTATGAAGGGGTTCTGAAAGCAAGTGGGCACTGCGTGGAGCGGGGGGTGTCTCTCCCCTCCCCCAGACCACATTCAGAGCAACGGCACCCACGGGACTCCACAGGAGGGGCGCGGAGACCCTCAGGAGGCGGCCCCAGGCCAGGACCTGGGGGTGTCCTTCTGGGACAGTAATTCTAAGCAGGGACGAAGGGAGACTGCCGTGCACACACACTCACAGACGCGCGCGCTCATCCACTCGCTTTTGCGCACACATGAACGCGCACTTTCACTCAGCGCCCGCACGCCTGTGCACACAGCCGCCAGGCACACCCGCTGCGCACACTCGGGCTGCATGCTGGCACAGAGAAGCCGCCGGGGGGTACCCGGAAACTCAGACAGCCCTTGCGGGGCATGTTTCTCGAGGAGTTTTCCAGAATTTTTCCTTTACAGCTTCGGAAACCCCCACGGCACATCCGAGTGACCCTGGCAAGGGCAGGGCCAGGCCAGGAAGGCCCAGCACGGGTCAGCCCCTGGGGCTGCCGTCACAACCCACCAACCACAGCCACCACAGCAGTCTGGCGGCCAGAAGTCTGGAACGGGGTCCGCAGGGAGGGGCCCGGGCCCGGGGGGCTCTTTCAGCCGGGGCGGGCCCCCGCCTGCACCACCTCCCTGTGTCTGTGCCAGTCTTCTCCTAAAGACGCTGGCAGTGGCGTGGGCCAGCCTGACCCAGCGAGAGCCCCCGCCCCGCCCCACTGCGGAGACCCTGCAGGAGCAAGGCCAAAGTCACACGTGGGGGGCTGGCATACGCTTGGGGGGCAGGGGACATAATTCACCCACAGCCACCCCAGAGGAGTGAGGCCCCCACACTGGAGGACCCCAGGAGGGCACAGCCCCAGGGTCGACCTGCTCCCAGAACTGGAAGAACACTCGGCTGTGCCCTGGGCGGGACCGGCGCTCCGGGTGGGCGGGCCCAGGCCCGAGGCCCTTGTCTCTGACCTGGGGGGTCGGGGCGTGTGGGACTAACCGCCTGTCAGGCCCCACGAGTGTCGGCCCAGCGCCGGACGGTCCCCCCACCTGTCTCATCCACATCTGGCCACTCAGCCTCCGCCGCCCCGACGGCTCCCGCTCTTGGGTAAAGCAGCCCTCGCCGCCATCTTCCCTAGGTCCAGTCTCTCGAGGAAGGCAGGACATGGCAGCCCCGAGCCGGCAGGGTGACCGCGCCCTCCCATGGACACGGGACTTGCAGGTGCTCGCCCTGGGAGAGCCCTGACAGCCCTTTCTAGGGCTTTTCTCACGCCTCGATTGTACCCAAGTGAGACCAGCGTCCCCAGGTCAAAGCCGCCCAGGCTGAGGCCCTCCACCCAGGGTCAGGGAGACAGGAAACAGGCCCAGTTGTTTAGACACAGTCCAAGACCGCCCAAGAATAACATTTACATAAGAAATAGCAGTGACATTGCAAACTTGTTTATTTTTAAAAAACAGCCAAACTCTTGTTTGTGACGAGCAAAAAGAGTGGTCTGCAGAGCTGCTTTTCTCTGAGCCCCAGCCCCGCTCACCTCTCCACGGGGTCCCTGAGCATGACGATGAGCCGGGCGTCAGGCTGGAAGGCGTGGATGAAGTCCTGCGTCAGGAAGGGCGGCTCGCCCGCCGGGCTGCTGTCGTAGAACAGGGTCCAGGCGTTGTTGTCCCACATGGTGGACGCGCTGGCCTCCCCTGCAAACGGATACCGTGGTGAGGGGCTGGAGCCGCCGGGCACCAAGCCTCGCTCCCTGCCTGCCCTGAAGCGCCGTGTCTGACCGGTGAGCCGAGCAGACTGGCGAGGTGCAGCACCCCCGCCAGGCCGCCTCTTCAAAAACAAGGCGGCGCCCGAGACACTGAGCCCCCTCGCCCCCATCCCTCGCCATGCTTCCCACGATAGCTCCAGAACATTCTAAGGGGTCACGGAGAATGTGCTAAGCAGTTTCCTTCAAAAAGCGCCAGGAATTGAGGACTCGTCTGGGGCCCGTGACCCTCCTCAGGGGACCACGTGCCGTGGGCATCAGGCCTGTCTTGATATCGCACGGTCAGCCCCGGGCACACTCGGACCAAGGAGAGCCAGGTCAGCGGAGGCTGGCGGGCCGTCTCGGGCCTGCGTCCGGCATGCCCACGGCTGGCACTCACGCTGCTCTGACCAGGGACAGAAGCCAGAGCACACGCTGGGCGGGCCGCACCAGCGAGGGATGAACCAGCTCAGCCTCCCTGCTCGGACAGGGCGGAGGCCGCCAGCGGAGGCCGCCAGCAGCGGAACGCTGCGCGCTGGTATGTGACTGAAGCCTCTCGGACTTTTTTAGGGCCATCCTCAGAGACTTAGAGAAAAGGACAAATCAATCTGTCACACACTCAGCTGCCTGACACTTTACACAAGACGACGTGACAGTTCTCGAGTGACTTCAGGGAAAACGGCGGCCACCGACCCCCAGCCCCTCCCGGGGCGAGCGACCTCTCGCGGGAACGCATGCCCCTCGTTGCCCAGGTGAGCGACGGCGCCCAGGTGAGCTTCTGGGTCCTGGTCTCTCTCTCTCTCTCTTTCTCTCTCTCTCTTTAAGAAATACCACAGATAATGGAAAAGACAAGTCAATGAGGGCCCTTTGGAGC